TTGTGAGCCTTCATTTGGAGTACTTTGTCTATGTCAGGGACCCCCAATACAGGAAACGTGGAGTTGTTGCAGAGAGTTCAGAGGAGGGCCACAAAGAGGATCCTGGAGCACCTCCCCTACAAAGTCAGGCTGAGGGAGCTGGGCCTATTCAGCCAGGAGAAGAGAAGGCTGTGAGGAGACCTCATTGCAGCCTTCCGGTATGTAAAAGGGGATTATAAAAAGGGGGTCAATCCACTCTTTACTCAGGTAGATAGTGGTAAGACAAGGGGGAAAGGTTTTAAGCTCAAGGAGGGAAGATTTAGGTTGGGTATCAGGGCAAAGTTCTTTACTATGAGTGGTGAGGTGCTGGAGCAGGCTGTCCAGAGGGCCTGTGGATGCCCCATCCATGGAGGTGTGCAAGGACAGGTTGGATGGGGCCCTGGGCAGTCTGGTCTAGTGCCAGATCTGGAGGTTAGTGGCCCTGCCTGTGGCAGGGGGGTTGAAACTTGATTCTCCCTGGGGTCCCTTCCAGTCCAAGATATTCTATGATTCTATGATCCTATGATTCCCAAAAGGATGCACTGGATCAAGTCTGTTGCCAGCCCAATAAGCCAAAAGGGTGGCTGCAGATTCCCCCAGCCCAACTGGAGCCAGGTGTGTGGTTCCTTCGTGTCAGATGCAACCCAGCTGCTGAGGATTGCTGGCACTGAGATATATAATTCGTGTAGAGTTTAAAGGACCCAATTCCACTGAGGCTATGCTGATTTACCCCTCATGATGATCTGACCACATATATATTTATTTCAAATGCTGTCAGATTCAAGGTATCTTAGAGCTCTGTGTGGTCTATATCACCTTTAGGATGAAATAGTGTATCAAGTGACATAAACCTCAGTACTGGCAGTGGATATTTATGACTGTTATCATCTCCTTCAAACAGATGCCTGGCCTGGAGTGAAGAAAGGTGGCTCAGTGGTAAGAAATACTTTCAGTTATTGCGAGATGATAAAGTCTGTGTACATCATCTTCTCCAGCATGATCCTGACAAGATACCTGGTAACTGAGATGTGTCAGAGACATCTCTGCAGGCCAAACAAAATTGTCACTTTGGCAGAGTCCCACTTACTCAGCTGGATGGTGCTTCTCCAACTTCAGCACAACCACAATAACCTGAACATTTCTTTTAATGCATTTGGTCCACGGAGTAATTTCTTTCTACAACTCAAAGTATGTGGAGGTCAGTTCTAGGATGATGACACCTTCCTGGGGCCAGAGAAGCTTTAGAGCTGGCTGGCTGCTCACATACTGTCCGCACAACCACTTCACTTCAGCTTCAGGCTTCTGCCTTTCCCCTGTTGTTGTTTTCTCCACACCAATCACCCTCATTCTACTCCAGGATTTCCTCCACTTTCCCATATTTCCTTTGTTTAGCTAATCCGCTCTAATTAACTCTGAAATAATGAAATAATTAAATAATCACATAGGAGATTTAGCTTGTTGTTCGCCAGTGATCACTGTGTTCATATACTACATCCCTTTTTCCCTTACCCTCTGCTTGGTCTGTTCAAACAAAATGTTCTCAGGTCTCTAATGAATAATGATGCACAGCATTGTGTGCTGAAACAATGGGCTTCTACTCAGTTGACCCTTTAATAACCCTTAAGCTACACTGTCACAAATATCAGTGTTTCATTTCAGCTGGTTGCAGGATGTTGTGCTAAGCAATACCAATGAGCACTGAGAGCTCTACTTTAAGCTGTGATCCTCGTATTTGCCTTGAAGGCTGATCTGTGGTAACTGGCAGAGTGAAGTGTGGAGTGTAGGTACTGTAACTCTGTGGAAAAACCCTGTGCTTGTTTGAGAAAGCAAAATTTGTAAAAGGCCCCAGGATTTATAGTTGATACTATGGGAATATACTGCAAATAAATCACTTTTCTTGGTGTATAGTCTCTTCTGTTTGGGATTCACATCAACTGTAAATTTGTAATATCGTGGTGGTCACTGGACTTCTCTCTAAAGTGAGCAAAGAAAGACCTTCTGAGAGGCTGGTCCATCTTGGGTGTGAAAAGTCCCCTACCAGAAGGCTCCATAGATCCATTCATCATACAGCTGAAGTGTAGGAAACCAAATCTTCTCTCAGTGAAGATGCTCTTAAGGACGTAATACACACTGCTTTTATAAAACTTGGTGATCTGTAGGATTTGTCTTCTCTTTTCCTCTCCACATGCAAATTACAAACCTAATATGAATTCAATTTGTACCAATTCCATGTTTGTGTTCTACCTGCCTTTTCAGTTTGTTCTGCCTCACAACATGAGGAGATTGCTATAAAAAATCCTGTTGCCCACGTTAAACTGAAAATTCAATTTTAACAAGCAAAAAAAAAAGATTTCTCCTGTGAATCAGTTTTGCAAAATCTTGACATAGTGGCATGGTTTTGATACTTGCTTATGTGCCCACATCTCCAAAGTCATAAAAGATGTCCATTTTGCATGTCTACTTTGTGACAACACCTGAGAGGTAACTTTCTGAAGCCCCAGGTGCTGCCTGTCCTACTCAAAGTCAACAGGAGCTGCAACTTCTAATGCAGGAATCACTTGTAATCTATTTATTCAACTATTGTATGATTGAGTTTCTTTCATATCAGTTTAACTTACTTCAATTCCAGTGTTTCCTACTGCCTGGAGACAATTGCTGGGGTACAAAGAGCAAGCAATGCATTTTCCCAGATTAACCAGAAGAAGCAGAATGAATCAACTTCATACACTTTTTTTTTTTTTTTTTTTTAAAGGAGAGCTAAGAGAGACATTGATTTGAAGAGTAAAGCAATTGGCACTTAGAGTTTTGATCTCACATACAGAAAGCATAAAAGTTCAAGAGAACAGATAATTCATCAGAATTGATTCAGTATGACAAGGTAAGACAGAACTTCTGAAAAGTCACATAAAAAAAGGGTAATACCCAAAATTCTCCAGTCTATCTAGTTGTTAGACTTCAACCTTTCCTTCCCTCTGGAGGAAGTGAAAAAGAGTTTGTTGGTTTTTTTCCTCTCCATTTTATTCAGGGTAAAAGAAATTGGAGAGAAAAGGTGGAATTTACCTAAGAATTTACCCTGTGTTTTACAGCTTTGCAGTTTCAGTCTGTTTAATTTATTCCTCTTTAAAAGATTCTGATTAGTTCAGTGTATCAAGTCTTTTTGATTTATTTAAGTGGGGCTGGGTCAAGTATACGAATAAGCAGTGCAACTCCTGGGATTGAAGGCTGAAGTCCCTGCTTTACTGAGCAGATCAACAAATCAAATACAAATTAAGACACAAGCACCCTTTTACATAATTTTTAAAAAAGAGAGTGCATCAATTGCAATAGAGTTTGCTCCCCCCCAGGAGCTGAACAAAACTAATAGCATAGGGTACCTTGCATTAAGGATACAATTGTAGGTTCTCAAGGTGGGAGATGCCTTTTTTCCCAGTGAAGGTATTGGAATGAGTAAATGAGAAAACTTTTGGCTGTAAGAGAGAGGATGTTCATGAAGAGTAGTACTGACTGTTTTCCTCCTGGCTGCTGGGCCATGGTGCTCCTCGAAGCTCTGAAGTGACCACAGGAAGACAGCTTTGGTGTTAGGGACACACCTTTCTTGTAACTTTGTTTTTACTTTTGCAAACAAGGGTCTAACCTTTTCCTTGGTACAGCAGATACGGAGGGTTGATGCTAAAAGCTTATCTGTTGTTAGGATCAAATTGTACAAACGTGAGATACTCAGCTTGTCAGATGGTCACTGGCCATGTACCACAGCTTGTGCAAACACATCCTCTGGGAACATACGTAACACAGGAGGTTTTGGGAATCATTGGCTTTGTAATATGTCTTGGTTTCACTGAGGCCCCAAACTGCTCCTGCAGGGTATCCATGGGCTGTGCCTCCTTCGGGCCTCATCCACTGTTGCTTCTCCACTTCTGGCTTCTCCACGGATGCACAGAGAGATAGCAGGAGGGTTGAAACTAGATGATCATTGTGGTCCTTTTCAACCCAGGCCACTCTATGACTCTATGATCTGCTCAGTGTGGTGCCCATGGGCTGCAGAGGGACAGCTTGCACCTCCATAGGCCTCTCCTGGAGTGCAGGAAGCTTGGCTCCATGCCTGGAGCACCTCCTGATCTCCTTCTGCACTGATCTTGGTGGCTGCAGGGATGCTTTTTTTTTCCAAGTCTCTCTCCTCTCTCTCAAAACCTTTCCATGGAAGTCTAAAACAGTCTCCAGCTAAGGGGCCACAGTCATTACTGAGGGCTACTGCAGCTCGGTGCTTATCTCAAGGGAAACACCCTACTTCATGCAGAGACCAAAGAACCTAAGACAAAAAGCACCAGCAAAGGAACTCTGCCATCTCCACAGATTATCTCAACAGTAAACACAGTAACACAGAGGATGCAAGAGTGCAAAATCCTCATTTTTGGTAATAAAATAAATTATTATATATTTATGGGAAAGTGACAGATGGCTATTTCCCATTTAGAATTAGGAAATATATATTTTTTATTCCTTTAGTAAAGTAGAAAACTTGGAACATTCGGCTGCAGAAGTATTGACTGATGAGATTGTTAAACTGCTATTTTCAAAGCAGGATACTGACTATGTCCTCTGAGATATGGTGACTGTTCAGAAGATTGAACAGAGAAGACAGGAAACAAATATTTCAATATTTCAAATGGAGAATGTGCTGAAAATGTAAGTATAGCTCTGTCAATTCAATGCTTACCCAAGACAAAATTTCAGGAGGGCACAATGTATATATGTGCTCAATAAAGAATTAACAGTGAGAAGCATAATTGATGCCAGAAACATGGCTTAATTAAAGATAAAACATTAAACAGAAATCAGATTCAGTTTTTGTGAGATTTCCAATCTGACAAGATGTGATTTTTTTTTTTAACACAGCAGTTGCATAAGGCCATATCATTTTCTCATTAAAAAGGACTATTCAGAATTCAGAATGTAGGTAAGCAAATTAAAAATTTATTAGAGAGATTTTAAAATATTAAACAAGAATGATCTTTCAAAAAGGAACATTTCTGGTATAGTTTTCTATCCAAATTTAGTTCAGTGAATTCATGGGTTGGGAACAAAGGCAAGACAAATTTGTGGTAAAGGCTGCGGTTGGCACTAAATGAATGAGAAATAAAGATAGCTTTTATAGACATGTCCAGACTGTGGAAGAATCTGGGCTTACGTTCTTTTAATTAAAGATCTAGGTACAATGATCAAACAGCTAGAAATGGGGAATGTGGGCTGTAAGTGAAATAAAAAATGAATTAATGTTGGCAAGAAAAAAAGAAAACACCATCTTTTTTAAAATTAGAACAGACTGGAGAGAGTTCAGATAAGATCCCTACATTGATGCGAAATTTGGAAAGCCTTTAATGAGAAACTGTATGGGCTCAAGCGAATTTACTCTCATCTTCATGCTTGCTTTACTATACAGTCCCAGCTACAGTGAAGTTCTCGCCATACCAACATTGCCAGTGCCCACGGAGCTCCTGCCAAGGATTGCTGAGAAGGCTCATTTAAGACTAGGATAAGAAAAATAGTTTATTCCAGGTAATGTGAGGGTCTTAAGGAGTCCTCCTCCACAGGTGAGAGAGAAAAATGAGCGGTTCAGATCTCTGATGCACTAAAGCTGGCATCCATGGCTTTGCAGAGCTACCCAGAAGTGCCCAGTGAAAGGAGAGCCTCCATGTGCAGAGCTGGAGAGGATCAGGACTGAATGTTCCTGACAAGAAAGGAGGCTGAAGAATAAGCATTGACTCCAAGATCTAGCCCAAAAGAAATAATATGAGATACTGATTCAATCCACTGCAGGGACAGAAACCATTAAGAAATTTCAGAAATGCAGAATTGCTTTAAATAAGATAGAAAAAATGAAATAATGTTGGTAGCAGTTAAAATTAATTTGGGTGTTTTTTCATTATCTCTGCAGAATGACAGAGCTCTTCCTTGGTTCATGAGTTGCAAGTGGAAAATGAGGAATGAGGAAAGAAAGGAATGCAGAAGATGAAAATAGCTATGGACAAATTAAGAGCTTACAGAGTCATAGGAGAGGTGAGATCATTTGGAGCTGAACTAGTTTAAATCCCCCTGCTCAGCGCAGTTACTAAAGGAAGTTTCTTGATACTGTCCAACTATATTTTGAATTTCTCCAAGGAGGGAACTCAACAGCCTGTCTGGGCAAACTGTGACACTATTTGATCACTCCAACATTAAAAATGTGGGTTTTTTTGGTGTTTGTTCGGGTAAAATTTTCTGTAGATTAACTTGTCCCCATTACCTCTCATCCTGACACTGAGCACATAGAGAAGAGCTCTCCTCTAGTCTTCTTTACTCCTCTTTTTCCAATACTTACACACAGTGCTAAGATTCCTCTGAGCCTTCTCTTCTCCTGGCTGAACGTTTCCAGCTCTCAGCCTTTCCTCCTATAAAAGATGCTCCAGTCTCTCCATCTTGTCTTGGACCTTTGCTGTGCTCACTTCAGTAAGTCTTTCTTTTACTGAAGATTCCAGCAGCCCAGATGTGTCCCACCTCTGCTGAGTAGAGAGGAGTGATCACCTCTGCTGGTAATGTTCTTTCTAACACAATCTCATACCAAGATGGAAGGGGAAGGGACGAGTAGAGTACATAGGGAGGAGTCGGGAAAAAGCACCTGCCTCTGGGAAAGGAATGATGACAGAATTAAAAATAAAATAATAAAGTGAATCAGAAAACAGCAATCATATTTTGTCCATTTGTTCTTGGACAAAGTGTAGTGAAGAGAGTCCGCTGGTAACTAGAGTCAAGAGTGCCCAAGAAGAATCTTATTTAATCATCTGGTGAAGTAGAGATTTAACAAGAGAGGTGGCTTGACTGAAGAGAAAGGAGAAGGAAAACATAACAGAAGGAGGAAAAGAGATTTCTGCCAGACAGCTTGTTCTCAAGAAGACAAAAATATGTGGAAGTATAAAACACTGAGAAGGGAGCTCTCAGGGAAGAGCAGAGTGGTGGCGTGGGGAAGAGCAGGAACATCTAGCTCTTGGGATAGGCCATGTGTCTTCTAACTTCCTGTGAATTTCTATTTTTTCATGTAAAAAAGAAGACATCACAACACAAATGCTGAGAACTACACTAAAGGGCCTGATGGTTGAGATATTCTCCAAGAAGAGATCTTGATTTATTCAAGAAGAGGTGTGATTTGAACACTGAGTACCATAAGATGTAATCTACAGATTAATTCCCTCTCTAGCAGAGAGTAATACTCTGCCTCAGTTTCAAAACAAAAAGATACACTTAATAGCAAATCCTAGAATAAAAGCTGAACAAAGACTGAAGGTTGAATGAAGCTGTCCTACTTCAGTGCACACTGAAAAAATCAGAGTCCTAACAACAGGAAATGCTTAAATGCACTAGGCAGCATGTAAGAAAATTCAATAATGAAATATTGAAATTTGGCAAGTGTCAACTAGGAGTCAGGTAGATACTTTTACCAGTTGGGACACTGGAACAACTTTTAGAAACTTAAACGGAGAATCAGTCCTGTAGGTCCTTAAATAATCATTGCATTTCTTCATGGGAAGGTAGTTTCTGATTTAGACAGACCATAAAATCTAAACATAGGAATCTTGCTGTCAGCTTGTATTGAATTTTAGAACAGCTGATTGTAATGGTTTAGTCATTCTGTTTGAGTAAATTTGTCTCAGCATGGAAAAAGCAAGTGTATCTTGTAACTTCCAACATCACACCATTCTCTGTTGGAAGGCTGATTTATCAAACAAAGTGCAGATCATCTTCAGGCAACAACAATTTTCAAAACAAACAAACAAAAACCTTCTACTGTCTGCTACAAACTAATAACTTTTATTTCTACTGTACTGCATAACAGATAATTAATTTTGTCAGTGTACTTTGTAACTAGAACAATCTAGTGTTTTCATCTGAAATCTTTACCAAAGACTTATTCCGATAGATTGATAGCAAACACACCCAGCTATTACTTCCTAACTCTTGACTGACATGGTGCCATTTTTCCAGCCCAGAGTCTCTTGTTTCATTATAACCCCTTTAAAAAGATATTTACTTTCCAGATTTGTTTTTGTTAGGATGTATGTGTGGGAAGGTGTTACTTCTGAGATACTGAAAGCCGTCCAACAGGATAAGAATTGCAGATTCCAGGTATCTTGTTAATATCAATTTGAGGATAAATGTAATTTCTTATATCTCCATTGTAGGCCATGGCTCTCAAAGACATTTCACTCTTCATACAGATGTGTCTGTTTTGTTCAGAAAGATAGAAGAGGGAAAATTGAGATACTTTGTCATTAAAAAGAGCTGGAACAGTTAATGCCTGAAATTATAGCTAAAGTTTGTAGATATCATTTCAAATAAGAGACTGAAATGCTGGATAAGGGGACGCAGTTTGTGATCCAGTTTCTTCTCTGAAGACAGCCAAAAGAAAGCAGACAAGCTTAATGGAAGAGGTTATGCAAGGTGACTTGCCATTACTGTTCCTGAATGTGAAAGTAGCAGATGAATAAAAAGTTCTTCTTTCTCTTCAGAAACAGAAACATAGCAACATAATCACACTGAATTTTAACTTCTCAGTGACCGCAGTGACTTCCACTCAGCAATTCTCAATCAGATCTAGGGATGTGGTACTCCAAGTGTGGAAAGGCTGCAGGTTCACTACTTCAACAAGACCACCTATAAATATTAGTCTAATCAGACAACAAGGATTTGATTTAAGCAGAGGCACGTCCTTTAAAATATATGTGCATGCATATATCCTACTCTACAGACATCTAGCCCTAGACCTAACAACTGACAAAGGACGTACTTGGGAGTGAGATGTGAATTCAATTTTCAAAGCAGAAGTCCAATAGCAGGGAGAAGTACCATTTGCAATTGAAACCATTCTTTAGGTATGCAGAAATTTTTCTAAGGAAGTTTCCAGTGTCAGGTGCCTGAAAAAAGGTTAAACTGCAGAACATTAGGGAAACCTGCACTTTGAATCAACATCAGCTAACTAGTAGTATGAGAGGGTAGAGTAACTCCCTGAGGCAGAGATAACCAAGGGCAACAACAGAGAATCCCAAAGAAGAAAGAAAACACAGCAACATCACAGGTTCAGAAGAAAACTTCAGGTGACGCATTATGAAATTTCCATGTTGCAAGGGCTATGGAAAACCAGTGTGTGTGGCATGCCTGAATACTGAAAAAAATATTGCTTGGGAAACTTTTAATTTTGCATAAAATGTACTTGTAAATGCAGTGGATGCTTCTTGTCTGCGTGGCCCATCTAACACACTGTGGATCCTTCTTTTTCATCAGGACTATCTAGGTCGTGAGTCTGACTTTCAGAAAACATTAAAATGTTGCTGTTTGCAAAAACAAGAATATGGAAATAAAGTTCCATTAGACTAGAGAGAAAAGAAGAGTAAGAAACTAGAGATAACTAGAGATTGTAATACTTCTCCCCATTCGTGTAACAGAAGTTAACAGGGTAAAATAGGTAAAGTGAAAAAATGATGCGTAAAAGATTGAATGCAGTGTGAAAGTTTCCAGTATTAAAGTTTTATTTCTTTAATGTTGTACTTTTCTAAACACATTTTCAAAATAGCCCATCTATAATATACACATTTGCTTCTCCTTGACTCTCTATTGTTTAACATACATTAAAAAGTCCCACAAAACCCCCAAAACACAAAAAGCAACATCAACAAAAAAGCAGCAGCACTTTGCTCCCACAAGAGAGCACTATTATTTTTTTTGCTGTTCAAGTCACTGGAAATTTGAGGCTGGGCACAGTAAAAAAGTAAACACAGATATTTCTGCAGCTTCTGCAACATCTTCTTTTTGTGAGATCCTAAAGGCTAGCATAATTACATTATGCAAAAGGCAAAACAATTTAAGAAGGAAAAAAAAAAAAAAAAAGACACATTCACTTATTAAAAATTAATTAGGAATTTCATAACCAGTTGCCTCAAATATGTGTGAATAATGACAGCTAGAAACCAGTCTCTGCAGACTACTGACGAAGTGGGTGTGAAGATGCAATCAGGCTAGGAAAAAAATCACACGGATAAAAGAGGGCTTTCTTGGAGCTTTTATAAGGTCATTTGGCCAAAGCCAGATAAAAGAGAATATTTCTCTAGTATTCTGTAACAAGAGGAAGAAAACAGAATTAAAAATTATCTTCTGCAGCAAAACCGAAAAAAATCAAAGTCATACTAGCCTAGGATTAAGTCCACTGGAAAATAAAGTCTGCATTTTTTTTTCTGACAGGTTTTAGCTTTTAATTCTGTAAAGCACTCATGAAAGGATTTCTACCTTTTTGTAAATTAAATTCACAAAACATCCCAATTATCTGCAGATGTATTAATAACTCTTTGAGCAACATATTAACGTAGCAAGCTGAAATGTGTTTTCAAAACGTTAAAATAAAGATTTAATAAGTACATCTGTCCATAATTCTTATACACTTCATATGTAAATATATAATTGGTACTGTAGATATTGTGTAAAACAACAAAGAACTCAATATGTCCGACTCCTTCAGCTGTCCACAGTTTCCAAAACCTAACAGTATTGTGGGCTGCCAGAGACGGTCATTTTTTCCTCTGTGGGGAACTGAATTTATCTACTGATTGTAATTTCCATGGTGAATTTAAGTTACTTTTTAATAACAATTTTACTCCTCATAAAACTGAAAAGATGACTCGTGAAGCCAATTGCATTATTTAGATACTATTTTTAGGATACAACCCTGCTACGAAAACACTAAAATAGTGTTGGAGTGGAAAATGAGGAAGAAATTGTACAGGAAATTAAGAACAGTCCTTTCACAGAAGAATCATGGAATCACAGAATCACAGAATGGCCAGGGTTGGAAGGGACCTCAAGGATCATGAATCTCCAACCCCCCTGCCACATGCAGGGCCACCAACCTCCACGTTTAAGAAGGGCTACAAGCAAGTGGTTTTTAAAAGTTTATTTCATTTTTTAATTCCTCTTTCAAAGTTCTAGCTTTCAAACAAAGTTCAAAGGCAATTCGAGTGCCATATGTCAGTACCTTGCCTTAGAAGTCCTCAAGACTACAAGTGAAGGCTTTGCACAAGTCTTTAAATCAGAACTGGGAATAAGGGTATGGAACCCTTTCAGAAAAGTACATACATGCACTGAGGTTTGTGTAAAGGTCATTTCTTTGATGCAATACTGGTGTTTCACTGACAGTCTTTATTGATACTAACAATCTCCATTTTCATGCATGGGAAACAGCAGGAAGAAGCAGCCCAAAATAAAGCCTTTCCCTTTCACTGTCTTTCACTTACAATCATAATTACGTTGCAGAATCACCTTCTGCATTTCCAACCATATTCCTCAGCTGTCAAGTTTTATCCACCCACAGTCCACAACACAGAGAATGTGACTTTATTGAGGTTTTGGAACTAAATCTCACCATATCCTGAGCAAACACTTTCAATGGCATCAGTGCTTCCTTTGACTTGAAATACACGTTCTGCAGTTCTTTATGAAAGAACAAGTTTCAGATTTGGTACGCACCATTGCATAGCTCCATGCACACAGTTGGAAAGCCATTATTTTAAGATGCCCTCTCATAGTGCTTGAGAATTAAACTACAAAACCCTTCACAATGAAACAGCAAATAAGAATCTAAATTAATACCAGCATTAGTACTGACAACTAACAAATCTTGTATTCTTACCTTCTGGCAACATTAATCCTTTATTCCAAGTAGTTTGACCCCTAGATGAATAAAAATGCATTAGTACAGTATAGTAGAATGAGACACTTATGTTAGGAACTAAAGTTACATGGGTCTTTCCTGATTACTTGGTATCCTTTGCTGTCTTTTAAAACTCTATTTAAAATACAGTGTGAGTTCTTACGTAAGAAGATCCCAGTTCCAGTTTATTTATTTGTCCCATTTATTTGATTTGAACTACATATGAATAGTGGGATGTACTGACTTGGAAGATAAGCTTGGTTTTGCTTAAACAAGTCAATCTAAAAGTGTTCTAAGTATCTTAGATGCCTTGATCCTTTCTCAGTCTCACACAATTTCAAAGAGCGAGAAGTTTCTTTTGCTCCTCCCTAGACTCCCAATAATCTCTTTCAGGATGAAATTTTCAAAAGAAAGAATGATGGAGGTCAAAGTTGAGCCAGACAAAACACATCTGATTATGCTGATTGACTGCTTTGTCAGAGGCAGGTCATTAACTCATCTACCTGGACTTACTCATCTTAGGTCCCTCAGCTAATGCTTCTGCTGAACAGTTTTTTATTTTCCTTCATCATTCTGCTTGGAAAGATTAGCATATTACTCTCAACAACTATCACAACAAAAAATAGTTTTAGGAGAAAAATCAAATAATCTTTCTAAAACATACTGCATATAGACTAACCAGGCTAAAGCTAAATTAGCAAACTTTTCTTTGTAAAAAGATATTTAATCATTGTGGATGGCAAGCCTGCTGGCAATAGGTAGTAATTACATTTATCTCCATATGTTGAGTTTGTTTTGCCCATTCTAGTAATTGGCAAATATTCTCCTTATCTCAACCCTTGTGTCTTTTTTCACCATATTTTCTCCCCCTGTTCTTTTGCAGAGGGGGAGTGAGAGAGTAGTTTGGCAAATCTGAGTTGCCCACTGGTGTGAAACCCCCACAACAACATGCTCTCAGTTGGTAGCAAATACCATAAATCTTGACACTCTAGAGTGATGCTCCCATGGAGCATGTTGGAAGAAACAAAACAAGTGCTAATCCACAAACCATGTTCATTTAAAACAGTTGTATATTCAAGCTGTGTTATTTCTGTCCAGCATCCATTGAATTTCTGTTGTCTGTAAGGGAAAGGAAGAGAATGTCCCGTTGCCCTGCACCTATGTATTCAGGCCACAGTTATTTCCCCTTCTAAATATCTATATTAATGTATCAACTAAAGGAGTAGAGTCAGCATGTGAGAGAGCATTTCTCACTCATATGCCTGACACGGGGTTTATAAGAGACATGGAACAGGAATGTGCAATATGTCACGTTGTCTTCTAGATTCTGAGTTCACTAGAGCTTAGAGAGTTCCAGCATGACATCCAGTACTTCATTAAAGAAGAGCAGGCACATAAATTTCATCTACTCACCATGTGAACTATCTCCATTAACAGAGTAGACAAAAGAGTCCTTCACATTGCTCACTTTCTACTCAAAAAACAAACAAGGGCTCTGTTACAGGCCTGCCATGCATTAGCACTTGGCCTCTGCAAATGCCGCAGTGCTCGAGCAAGGAAAAATCTCAAGGGAGTAAATATAAAAACATGTCACTGTTTTAGTTATTCTTTTGTAAAAATAGAAGTGTTCTCATATTTAAGTAAAACTGTTCATTTATGCCACCACAGTGAACAGGTATTGCCTCAGTTATATGCCCCAGCTGAGTAAGGACTCAATCTTATTGATTAAACTTTGATGTTGAAATGACAAACATTATCTTTTCCTCTCCTATCCTAAAAGGTTTATACTTATGTTAGAGTCAATGGCTGCACAAAAGACATCAATATTCTCCTGATAGCATACAGGAAGACTCAAGACTTTCCCAAAGGTGCAGTAGCTCAACACAAAGAAGTGGAAACATTAATTTGGCTTCTCATTAAAAAAGCAAAACACACAACCACCCGGAGAGCACCTTGATATTTATAACCAAAAGGTGAGAAAAGAACTACTTTCATGAAAATACTTCGTGAAATAATAACATCAAAATATTCCTAATAAAACAAAATCTGTCTGGAAGGCAGAGGAATAATGAAAATTAATTTGTTAACAACTAGCGAACAATGGGGCACAGCAACTGCTCTCTTCTCTCCTGGACAAACATACAACAATAAATTTACCCTCTCCTCTCTTTCCACGCCAGTCCTGATATCCACTGTTCAAACACTGCTACAACCAGCCACTGTTTTTCACAAAATGCAAATAAACTGAATTATCTGTGAGACTTTTACACTCTTTTCAAATTCAGTCAAGATTGGCCAGCAGGTTGGAGACCTAACTACATGTATACAGAGTGATCACAAAAAAGCCATTTCCATAGGAAACCAGGCTAATAGAAATAATAATGAAAAATATAGCAGTTACATCAACAATGGCACAACATTCAGCTTCTGTAAGCATGGAGCTGTTGTGACTGTGAAGAGCTCAGTCAGGAAAAAAGAAGCAGGAAAGAACAAATATTTCCTCTTAGGTGCCACTACAAAGAAGGAGCAGGCTCAAAACTTACCTGCAGGTCTTAACTTTGGGAACCTTTTTCTTTTCTTTTCATCTTAGTTTATAATCTGAACTGCTTCAGTTAGCTCTTTTGTAATGCAAAACACCATGTTTCAGGCAACGATTTGTAAGGCACCTTTGGAGTTTAGCTCTTTCTGCTTAAAATCCCAAGGGAAGGGAGAAGAGCCTGGATATAATCAAAGACACTGAGGTTGCAGCCTCCAGCCTGTCTAAAAGAGATTCTTGCTCTTGTTACCAAAGTTATTTTAATTCTTCTCCTTTATGGCATCTTCTTAAGTACTTTATTCTTTCCGTACTTTGTTCAGTCTTCTGAACATTTCATAGTGAGGTATATATGAAAAACACATAATCTAAGTGCTACCCAACATAAGGCAGGCTCCTTGAGAACTATTCAGTAAACATGCAGAGTAGGAAATCTATTACTTCTTTATGTAGGGATTTGTAGTAATTATGTTGATCCATACATATTAAAACACATTAAAAAAAAAAAAAAAAAAAGATTGGCTGTAGACTTTTCAGAGCTGTCTGCTATTAAAACTATGCCTGGGCTGAGTGCACTAGTGCAGTGGTACTGCCACGCATCTTGGGGAATAGCACATGTGGTAAAGCACTAAAGGTACAACCTCATTCCTTCTACACCCAGAGAAGCTTTCAGTAGGGACAGTGGATGGATTGGATGAACATGGGACAGTTCAGAGATTGGAGCTGTTGGCTGATACAGACTTTATTTTACTAGGCAACAGTTTACAAATTGTGATAAAGGATACAAACTAAAATAAAAAGAACAATTTCCACCCTTGGCTAAGCAGGCACCATCCAGCAGACTTTACTTTTTGCCCCTTTCTAGGCATTATTTGCTTCTGTCCTACCTGAAGACTAACACTGCTATTTTCAAAAAAATCACTCAGGCCTGCTATATAGAGTATAGAATCTCTTATTCATACTCTTTTACTATGCCTGGATATCTATGGTTCAGTTTTCCAGCATGAGCCAAGACCCTAGACAACTGGTTCTTCCAGCAGCTACCATCAGACACAACGGGAGACTGAGCTGACAGATCCTGTCCACTCTCAGCAAGATCAAGAGAACTGCTCTGCACAGTTCCGGCTTCAGTCTGAGGTTTCTGAGCCCTCCACCAAGTTTGCCCATAGCTTTTAGTGAATAAGAGGCTCCTTTTCCAGTTTCAGTATCTGGAAACCTCTAGGAGCAAAACTATCTGCTTCTATGTCATGCTTCGACTTTGTAGATGCTTGAAACCAAGGTTTTGTAGCATTCATCTTCCAAGAAACAAATCCACACTGAACAGTCCATCTCAAGCTAGGCAGTTTCCTCTGTAAAGCCATATTCACTAAATTTATTTAGACTTGTATCATTTTGCTACTCAGTCTTTGCAATTTTTAATTTCTACACTTTTGTCCTCTCACCAATGGAATTTCATCCCAATAGAAATTTCCATAATGGAAATAACTGCATCAACTCTGACCGTTACATCACAACGCTGACTAAGATGAAGGCTCAAACTTCCAGAGTCAGAACAAAGAAAACAACCTTTCTCTTGCAACACAGTAATGCCAGGTCCCATATCATTTTGAAGATCGTTGCCAATCTTGGCTGGACTGTACCACTACACCCACTGCATAGTCTGGATTTGTGCCTTCTGATTTCCATCTGTTTGAGCTGATGAGAGATGACCTGCAGGGGCAACATTTTCCTAGCAACAACATCATCAAAGCAACTATGAAACAGTGGGTCATCTCCAGTGGTGCTGAGTTTTACAAGCACAGTATGCAGACTCTTGTTCGTTGCTGATGAAAATGCACAGCTATGGTGGTGACTGTGTTGAAAAAAACAGTGTTTTGTAGCTGAGAATTTGCTCTATCAAGTAGTGTTATTGTGTTCTTTGTATCTGTTGTAGATTCCATGGAAATAAATAGGAGGTATTACTTTCAGAGTGACCTACTTAAACTGGGTATGGTCAGGCCTTCCTTCCTTGCCATAAGTTTATTCAGGAAGGAATGAACAGCTATACTTCTCATGGCATTTTCCACCTCCATTTTCAATATCATATTAAAATGTTTACAGCCTTTCCAAACATGTTAATATGAATTTATAGATCTCATTTAAAGATGTTAAAAAAAACCCCATACAATTTCACTACTCTTGTTCTGAACTTCAGGAAGTATGTTGGATTTGGATCCTTGTACTACCTTCCGTGAAAAGCAACCAAACTCTGCTGCAAGAACAGCTGTTACTTCCTCTTCCCATTTGAACAGATTATATTTAAGACAGGATTTCTTTTTGAAAGCTGCTGTAGCTGGCAGCCAACCTGGACTGTCATGCAGGCTAACTGTGCACAGACACATAACAGTGTATGGAAAAAAGTCAATTTTTAAACAATCAAATTGCTTTAGTGCTCTGTACTCAAAAAACTTACCCAGGCACCATCACTGCAGTAGTCCAGACTCCCAGAATATCCAGGTTGGCTGATGTTATTAGATTGTGTTTTCTTCTGAAGTCGGTCCAGAAAAGCATTATTTACTCTTGAAGTAGAAAGAAAAATGAACAGTGATTGAAGGTAGCTGAGGAGCTCAAATTTTTGAAATGTAGCATTCTCTAAGGTGCTTTCCCTATTCTCAGTTAAATATACATCATTCTATACTTTTCAAGCCTGTGCTGAACAACCACAGCCTGTCATGAGATAGGATGCCTTCCATTTTCAGTTCACCAGGTGCATTCTTATCCTGCGATCAATCCATCATGATTAAAAAGCATACACCTATTGCTATGAAAAATGGAGTAAAAAGTCATCCTGCATACCACTCACTTGATCACCCTACGTAGTCTTTCAGCCTTCATTTAAACAAGTTTCTCTAAGTAGAGATTCCCTAATGAAACATCCACTTAAGCTTGTTACTAATATAGCCAAGCTGTCAGAAAGCACCTCTAGCATTTTCTTGTACTGCCTTCGGGGCTCACATTCAGGACATCAGGAAGAGGCTACCAAGTATGATAAAGCTGGAAGACTACCATCTGACTGTGCTCTTTCAAGGCAGGTCACAGGAAGCTGCAATTAGGAAATTATAAAATATTTTAAAAGACTTTGCGTTCCTTGTGAAGATGTTGAAGGGACTGGGAGAACAGGTAGAGTTCCCAGCAGTATTCTTAGTTGGAGACTGCAATCCAGACAGAAGGAGAAGAGCAAACCAGTTGAATGAATAGCACATAATATTTTGCACATATTTTTCTCCAGCTGTCTTTAAATTGTCTTGAATCTGCTAATAGTTCCTACCCTGTGCTGCACCCTGTGCTGATAAATAAAGTGAAAGAGGCACTCTGGGGCACACATTACTGTGAGCAGCTGTTATGGTGGATATTAGTGGTTTATCTGAAGACAAAGTTAAACCAGAGGCTATAACAGGGATCTTCAATGCAATAGTCTTCTTAAGCATGTATGCTTGCAATTTTGAGTCTCATTCCAGATAGAAAGTAATGTATATTCTGAGATTTTGCATCATACCTCCTCTGTTCATCTTGATGTGCTCTTATCCTGGCTTCTTCCTTCTGCTTTTGTTTTGATTCCATTAATTGAGCCTGGGGATGACAAAAGAGAAAAACAAACAAACAAACAAACAAACAAACACAAAAACTTATTTTTAGTTAACATGGCAATGTTGAAAATCCAACTAATTCCACATGGAGTTAATGTCAACTAGAGCCACGTGTAATTTCTGCAACTTCATCCAGTAGCGTTTTATTTGCTTATGTGGCAGCACTGAGCTCAGAACAGACCTCATTTTTCTGTACAGCACTGCATAGGATTAGATATGTGAATTCAGACAGCTCCAGTCCAACATTTGAGTACATCAGCCTGCATGCAAGCTCTGTCCCTCTAGCAAAGTCCCCCTTCTTCCAGATAAACAGTTCCTCTGCACAGCCAGTACACATCAGCTCCATCTGTCAACGCAGAGCAAGGCAGAGGCATGCAGCACCCTGCCCAAACAATAGCATGCCCATAGCTCCTCTACCCTCCAAAGTATTGTGAAGAAACTTCCTAGTCCCTTCAGTCTCCTAGTCTGGAGAATAAAGGAGGCTCAGAGGAGACCTCATTGCATTCTACAACTTCCTGAAAGGAGGTTGTGATGAGGAGGGGTTTGGCATCTTCTCCCAGGCAACAAACAGGACCTGAGGAAATGGTCACAAGTTGTATCAGAGAAGGTTTAGGTTAGATGTGAGGAAGGACTTTTTCTCTCAGAGAGTGGTCAGGCACTGCAATGGCTGCCCAGGGAGGTGGTGGAGTCGCCGTTCCTGGCAGTGTTCAAGAGGCGTCTGGATGAGGAGCTGTGAGATTTGGTTTAGTGCTTGTGGTAGCAGAGGTGATGGGAGGATGGTTGGACCAGATGATCTTGCAGGTCATTTCCAACCTTGTGATTCTATGATTCTGTGATTCTATGATAGTGAGGAAAGGACAAACAGTACCTACTGGTGTGGTGAAAGCATGTGCAAGCCCTAATGTTGAAGCCTACAGTCCCTACATTATATAGTTTTAAGGTACATAAACAGTCTCAAAGGGACTTCTCTGAAGAGCAGAGTTTGCTTATACAATTCTAGCTAGACCTGCTAAGGAAACATTGCATGTTTCCTTGTTTGTCTGCCTCTTGATCCCTGTAATGTGCTCAAGGACTGAAGATGAAGATTTTTTCTGCAGAGAATTTGGCTTGTAGGGCAAAGGGGGGATGGATGGGAACAGACTCATACTTCATATTTTCCATAAAAACTGTAGCAATAGGAAGTAAAACAAAATGAAGTGGTTAGATAAAAGCTTCAGTAACAGAATGGAACTACAAATGTAAAAAAAAAAAAAAAATCAATTTAAATGGAACATTAAATAAAAACTACGCAATAAATGTATGAAGAAAATCAATAACTGTGAATGTGTTGTGTATCAATATTTGTCTAGCCCTAAAAGAAGAAACAGGATTAAGAAATAAAAAAGCCAACCTTTATTTTCACTGTTTTAAATAACTATTCAACCTGAAAATTAAAACCCAGTATCTGACTTTCCAATACGCTGAGTCCTCTCTTGGAGTAATGTTCTGAAATATACTGCGTGTATGTGATGCTGTGTTCAAAGTGTACTGAATATTTTTAAATCAAGCAATACATACTAAAGCCTGTTCTGAAGAGAGGAAAAAAAAAAAGCAACTGACAATACCTATACATTTTATAGCTGTGCTATACTAGGAGCTTGCACACAGGACAGAATTCACAATTACTTTAATAAATATTAGTTTGAAGTAGAAATAAGCCAACATAAATTGGAGGGACAATTACTGGAGCCTTTAAAATACATATTATTTACAGTGGGTTTATACACAGCACATCACTCTGTGCAGGATGTAGCAGCAATGCTGAATGCAAGGAGCACATGGTGTTGTGTACCAAGACAGAGCAGCCCTAGAAGCAGTCCACATTTTCTTGCTGTCCTACAGAAATCAGTATGACATCTAAAGCTCTACACAATACCCTCGAACCAAGCTAAATAAAGAACCTGATCTCATGGGAAGTGTCCCTGCCCATGGTTGGGAGTATATTAGTGAACAGAATCATAGAATGGTTTGTGTTGGAAGAGACCCCCAAAAATCATAGAATCCAAGAACCTTGGTGAGGTCCCTTCCAAACTAGACCATTCTGTGGTTCTATTTGCTAATGTATTTTTAAATGATCTGTAGTTAATGCTGCCTTCTGCACACTTGCACAGTTAGACCTAGGTAAAGAACTTACTGCAGTGTAATAACTATGCTTTATGTAGATTATCTTTACATAAATCTAGTACCCAAAACTATGCCAGAGGGATGGCAGTGGTTGACATGCCTTACAGGCAATGCATGTTGCCTATGCAGAAGATGGAGTTGTAATTACAGTACAATTGGACAAATAAAAACCCTCTATTTATGTGGTTAGCAAAGGAACATAGAAGAGTACAGACTTGATAGCAAATCTGAGTTCTTCCACATACTTGTTTGAGACAGCAGGGCACACAGACTGTTTCTCTATAAAGAATATATTCAGAATCTGAGATTGTGAATGTATCAGTAAGGTTACTTCCACCTGAAAGACTGGCTGCCTTAGTCTATGAAATTTTGGTCACCACAATCCAAAAAAAATGCTTTGTGCAACTGTTCAAATGGAGAGGCAAGCAGGAGCTAGTCATCCAGATGCAAATAGCCATGAGCCCAGAAGATACTTCTGTCTGTCCAAATTTTACAACTTGGCTCATCTCTCTCACAACATTTGATAACAGTGACTACATCATTTTCCCTAAAGAGAAGCCCTGTGCATAGGCTACAAGTAATCAATGCATTTACTTGATCTCACAGCATGCAAAAATGACACAATATGTAAACTGTTAATGTATAATTACCTTCCTCCGTTGTTCTTGCTTCATTTCCTCCAATCTTCTGTTTTCATCCTCTCGAAGAGCTCGCTTATATATACGGCTTCTAGCCTGTAGTTCAATAGAAAACATAGACATACTGGTGTGGGTAGAGGGAGGATCAACATGCCAAACCTCAGCCTCAATTCTACTTACAAGTAATTAACAAATCAGAACTGTTCGAAGGATTACAGTTATTAAAAAAACCGATGAGTTTGAAGACTAGTGTTTAACCAAGGAGTAGCATAAAACTTTTCAGGCATTCCATTTAGCTGAATGTTCACCTGCACATTACAACTAAGCAGCCACAGCACATTCTATTGCTTATTCCAGTGGCATACATAAAGATATTCTGAGTAACTGAAAAATGCAATCAGGATATAAGACAGTGAGATGGGATGTTGTGGGAAGACAGAAAAGCACTGGAAGCGTTACTAATATAACAAAACAGAAGGGAGGCCTGGTAGCAGAGGAAACACTAGTAGAGGTTCAGGTTGGAGTAGGAAAAATTCCTTCTCAGAAAGAGTGGTAATGTTTTTTAGAACAGGGAGGCGGTAGAGTCACCTCTCCTGGAGATTTTCAAGTAGATGCTGCACTGAGGATCAAAGTTTAGTGGACATGGTAGTGATGGGTTGATGGCTGGAGTAGATGATCTCGGAGGTCCTTTCCAACCTTAAGAATTCTGTGATTCTATGATTGTTTCCATATAAATATTGGAAAGGAACGTGTGGTGGTAGGGCAAGAGAAGCTCAGAGATGAGGACTGCTTTCTTAGTTGGGAGTCAGGCAAGAGAAAATCTGAAACTATACATCACAATGAAAGTATTCACCTGTTTCCATTACAGCAACTAGCTCTGGTCTTTTACAAGTTACAGTTGTCTTCAAAGGGCCAGCATATCATTAGGATTTTATAGGATCCTTAGGAACTTATACTGTAAAGTCCTCAAGCAGGTACAGAGCATAGCACACTAAATAATGAGCCAATATAATTTAAAACAAGAAATGTGCAGGTTTGACTTTAGTGAAGAATTTGTTGCAGGTCTACACAGTGCTCTTGAAACTTGATATACGTGTGCAGAATGACACCATTAAAACGACAGGCACATAATTTGCTAAAAAGACTGAATAGAGAAAGCAATTATTAATAGCTCAATTTTGAGCCAGGAGGAGTTGTTACATGTGTCCAGGGAGACTCATTCTGGGTCCAATATTATTCATTACTCTCTCTAACGGCTTGGAGAATTGTGTGGAGTGTATGTTAATCAAGCTGAAAGACAATAAGACTCTATACCGGACTGGTAACACTTTGAAGACAGGATTAAAATTAATTATGAGCTTAATTAATTAAGTGGGCCAAAAAAGTCACCAATGACAGAGTCACCCCAAAAAAGTCAAATTTGTTCACATGTATCAAGTAATGTTTGACACTGCTATTTGAACTAGATGTACTGAATTAGTATCACTAACAAATAAGTCCTGCAAGGGAAAAATAATTCAATCAATGTAACATTGTCTCAGATTTGTTTTAGTGCATTAACTTTAAATAATAAAAAAACCTATATGAATATGCATAAACCCCCTGCTCCTTAACATTCTTATCATGCACTTCCAAGTCTTATCGCACTTCCCTGTTTCAAATATATTGTTCCAGAATGGTTTAGTTACTCTAGACAAAGAAAAAATAAAAGATAACATCAAAATTAAGAGTACAAGACTCCCTGGAGGTTTAGCCTTTTGATACTATGCCAAGTTCATTTAGATAACAATTTATTGGTTATGTGCTTCAGATTCTTTACAAAGAGCACAGAGGTTCTGCGTATGCCTATATATAGTCTGCATCTCATCCAAGTTGGTTAAAAAGACTTCTTACTAAATGCATTATATGCAAATGATAAATTGATTCACAGAGCTATAGAAAGACTGCTGCAAAAAAAGACATAGAATCATAGAATGTCTTGAATTGGAAGGGATCTTAAAGATGATCTATTTCCAACCTCTTGCAACCCTTTGCCATGGGTAAGGTTGCCAGCCATAAAATCAGGCACTAGATCAGGCTGCCTAGGGCACAATCCAACCTGGCCCTGAATGCCTTCAGGGATGAGGCATCCACAGCATCCCTGGACAAACTGTTCCAGCATCTCACCACCCTTTCAGTGAAAAATTTCCCCAATATCTAATCTAAATCTCCCCTCTTTGATTTTAAAACCATTCTCCCTTGTCACAGAATGATAGAATCATGCCATCACCAAGGTTGGAAAAGACCAGGCGTATCTTCCTCAGGATCACACGTGCATAATATAAGCTGGTATTAATAAAGAACAGTATAGAAATACTATGTATCCTATCTGCTTGGATACTGGCTAAGCAAAAGTTGAACTTAAATAATTTGGCATAATTTATTAAGAAACTCCTCCAAAACTGCAGTGAGAAAGAGACAAGTATGTAAGTGAAATAAATGGTGAAGGTTAAAGGTAGGACTACCTGAGAGAATTCAGTGTTACCTTAGGTATCCACCCACCTACACACAGACATCTCACCAAAATGTTGAAATCCAAGTCAATACTGAGGCTATGAGCTCGCTTATGTTCATAGTTCCCTGCTCACAGCATACAGAAGTCTGTTGAGCCTGATCTTCTCTACCAAAGACCTCGCTCCTCACCATTCAGAGCATAGCATGCTTCAGAGGCAACTAGATACTTTTTCAATACATCTTTTCTTCCTTCCCATAGTCCTCTGTATTGCTTGTCTACTCAGGACTACAAAACATAGCCTGAAAGGCACTGTGTTACAATTAAATCTAGCGGACACAGCACTGCTGGAAAGAAGTTGTCTTCTTAAAGTTACAACACTGCTCACATGTTAAGATTTCTTCATGCTTATCAGAGACAAAAAATGACCTGAGGAATCAAAGGGGAAAGCAACCTTCTTTCAGTAACGCCTTCCCTTTTCAAGCAATTGAAAATCAGAAAGAGATACTAGGGGCAAGACAGGACTGTCATATATTCTGTTCAGAGCAATTTCTCTGTAAGGAGGGTCTTGCACATTTCCAAGGCTTCTGAGGAAATATACAGGAAAATTTTTAATTTTCTTACTCAGCTGTTGGTGTTCAAGGTTGTATCTGTCACCCAGATAAGATGTTTCCAGTTTTCTGCTGACTCAGGACTGTTGTTCATAACAATAATTTCTGCCTACATTGTCATCCCCAAGTTACAAAGGGGAGATTTCTGTCTTCAGGGTTAATATTCCTCAGTGTAAGTTTTCATATCAGTAGGAATGCTTGGTTAGACATGGAGAGAATAATCAGAAGTGCAAAAGGCTTTTTGAGGCAATTAGAATAATGAAACTTTTGCAATACTTTATCTATTCCCTAATTACATTGATACTTAAGAGGCTCATTCAAACTGGGACAAAGTCCCCAAGCAGTCTACAAAATCACTTTTAGGATGCAATGAGAAATAAGCTTCTCTTCTGACTAGATTTTCAATGCAGCAAAGCATCTGCTGACAGGTACTAGTTGGGATTCCATAAAAGCTTGCCTCCAACTGATGGGTACGCAGCACATTTAAGATTCTGATCTGAACACAGAATATAAATCTGGCTCATATTTATCAGGAGGGGAACTGCAAGTAATAAAGGCAGTATCCTACTATGTCAGATACTCTGCCAGTATATCACAGACAACACAGGCAGTTCACCCAGAAAGACTCCTTGGTATTCGCTGAGTTATGTATAGGCAATTAAACTCAATTAGAATATTCTAATATCACACTATTGACAGCACCTGGAAAGTTGACAGAAAAATATTGCACATTCCATGGTTTTGCTTACCCATGCTGTTGATTCTGGGCCACAATTAGCAGTCTGACAGGAATCATTCTTTGGCAAACCCGAGTCCAATCTGTTCAATAATTCATTGGTTTTGCTACAAAGAAATCCAATCCAAATAGAATTGTTAGTGCTTCCATAAGAATAAATATAGCATTTTTATACCACCCTCAGAATCTAGCCTAGACATTTCATCATGTGACTACTGAAAAATATCACAAGTGGAACAAAAGGCTACAGGGACAGACAATAAAAGGGGACAGAGAAACAGAACCTATATTGTGGATAAAACATCGGCTGCGGAGATTTTTAAGCAAATAGTTACTGTCATTTGCATATTTGGGGTCCATAGAGGTTATGCTTTCTTTCAGCATGGCAAAGCTCCTAAAATACAGACTCACAAACCATTGGACTTCATCAGAACGCAACTGCTTCACTGAATAGTTGCTAACCTTTCTACCAAATCCCTAAATCTCAGATAAGTAATTTAAAATATTATTTTAGGCCATTTTCCTTCATTGTTAATAAAATACACCCTTACAACAGATTAATTAATCCAGTAGAAAGACTTTGAGCAATTTTGTAGCATTGTAAAATAAACACAAATGTATCTTTAGTTAAAAAGTACTGCACAACATTATAATTTCTTATTCTGGCAAGGGCAATTTTTTTTTACAATTGCATCCTTTATAAACCATATTTTCAAGATATCACCTGCTATCTCACAGATTCAACCAACAGAGTCAAACAAAGTCACAAAGACCAACATAAATGCTAAAAGCAGGAGTTGTGGCGACATGATCTGAAATCAGTTTCTTAACCTGTAGACCCAGGCATATCTACTGAAGTTTCTGTTCAATCAAAAGAACAGAGTGAGAGGAAAGAGCCAATTTTATTTCTGTATACATCTTTGGAAAGCATTAAGGTAGTTCAAGGGGGATTCAACACAAGGATTTACTTTACTAACAGGGCAGCCAACTAACTCTGTGGGGAAGAAGATGCCAATAGTAAAGACATCTATTTAACCTTGGAGAAAAAGCCTTGTCTGTCAAACAGTGACAATGACTAACTGCAGAAACGGACTGCTGGTCAGAGGGTATATTGAAGAGAAGTGCAGAAAAAGCAAAAGAGCCCACAAGTTCTTCTGTGCTACTCTATAGATATAAAAACATGTTACCTATGTAAGTACAGAGTGCTTGCTCAAGCTGTGGCAAGCCACGCTTTCAGAATTTCACCATTCACAGTTCACTCCCTCTCCTTCACTACTGGGCAAGTTATGATAGATCTCAACCAAGACAGAATACAGAAAGAACCAAGTGAAACCCAAAATTCCCTGATCTACAAAGCACCTCTACATCAGAGTTAAATGAATTAACAGTCTCCTCTTACTCAAGATTTAACAAGACACTTTTTTTTTTTTTTTTCCAAGTAAGGTAAGTGGTAGAGTGATGAGGTTTCACGGAATATGGGGAAATTGAAGCTTTACATTGCAGACTTTATATTTCTCTACCTATAATAAAATATCAATTTATTTCTATGCTAGAAAGACTAGCAACTCCTAGAGAAAATCTGGACAGTGAGAAGGTTGTAGCTCCGAAAAGAAGTACCTGGCCACTGGGGGTATAGTTGGATGTCCTAATTCCTTGTGGATGGCAAAAAAAATGACCTGGGGGTATGTATGGGGGTATGTGTGGGGGAAGTTCTCAGTAATTGCATAAAAAGGAAATGGAGAGCAAAAGACATTGCCCTTTCCAGATCAGTATGCGTACACATGTAGAGCAAACTCAGTTTCAGTATTAGAAAAGATGATTATTAAAGTGGAAGCAAATTGAGTATTGCAGCAAGAATGTGTTCTGCCTTTGTGTACTGCATCACATGAAGTTACACAGCTTTAAAATTTTCCTATCAAAAGAAATGGATTCAGGTTCCCAAACACGACTGGAGACTAACTTAATAAAGACAGTCATATAGGGTAATTCACAGTGTATCATCTCTATGGAAACCCAGCAGAGCATCTTGCGTTGCTAGACTGTCAAACCGTTGTCTGAAATGTATTTTTCATAATATCCATCCTAAAGCCATAATAATGCAAAGTCTAGCGTAAGCCATGCTGCAGAGAAAGGGGGAAGTCAGAGATATGACAGTTCAATTAATGTTCCAGAGAGGAAAGCATTATCTCCAGAAGGAAATCAGTACATCAAAATGTCTAGAGGTGTTTCACATTTAAATAGGTGGAGCAACATCTCACTCTCACTTGCTAAAACTTTAGAGGCTAATCAGAAATACTAGTAAAATGTGGTCTTCTAAAATGGTCAGTTTTCAGGAAAGAGAAGTTTAATTTAACAAAAATTAATCCTTATACAACAGCCTAATGGTATCCTTCAAAAAATAATTAGGCAGAAGGAAATACAAAATTTAGACAAAGCAAGAAGATGATATCCTCCTTACAGGCTGCTAATCTGAGCTCCTAATGCCCCTAAGCATTAGGTTGGAGGGAAGAGACTAATTGGAAGCACTAGTTAAGCTGAGGTGTTCTTATTTTGTGTTCCTCTGTGGTCCTGTTCCTTGTTACACAGTTGGGAACAAGACTTTTACTACGCTCATTAAAATAGGTTATGCTCATACTGGTTTAATAGCATCAGGCAATACTCTTAGCAATGGGAACTCAGCCATCTGTATTGTGGTAACAGTTCCTGGCATAGTTTTGACCCGTTCAAAATAGCACTTTCCCAGAGAAATCCTGGCTGCTGTCCAGGAACGAATATTAATCATAAATATCTCCCATTAGACTCTTTGGATGCAATTGCCCCATTCTGGGAAGTAAAAAAGTTTGCTAGCAATGGCAGCAGGCATTCTTAGCCCTGTTGGCCTCAAAAGTGACAGTGATTGACAGTGTTAAATATACTAGTAGAGATGCAGCTGTGGTGGAGTGAAACACTGTCAAGATTGGGGGTTGAAAAACTCTTAAGAGCTGTCATGGAAAAATAATGACTCTCTTGCCAGGATCTTTGATTAGCATGTTAGGAGGGGACAGTGCATGACCATGGAAGTCAGTTCATATTGTAGATGCTTTCCGTGGGCCCTTAGCTATAATGCTTTACTTTTCACAACTGTTCTTCAAGCAGAGTCTTTAATTGCACATTTGTTATAAGCTGTTACTTAAAAACTTGTATTCGAAGCGCAACAAATGAATACAAAATGCAGAAACATGAATCTGCTAGGTGTTCCACTGAGAATGGTGTAATTTAAGGACTTAAAGGAGTATGCTCTGTACTCAAAAACTACATCTAATCAGGGAATTTACTTGGATTTAATATTTTTGGTGACTAAATGCATATGCTGTCCACATTCCCACTGGGTTGAGACAAGAGGAGACAACGTTCTAAAAGTCTGAGTAAGCCTAGGTTCCTCTGGCCTAGGAAAAAGCTCCCGTGCTCTGACAAGGTCCCCAGTCTTGATGGGAGGGAATCAAAAAGTTCTGCAATTGACTCCAGCAAGGCAACTGTGGAAAATCTGAAGACCTACACTGATCTCATTGTGGACAAAAGGATGGAACTCCTGTGCAGAATAAGGACTTTAACTTCTTGTATCACTTGGGCCGTAACTACTCATGGAATTACACAGTGTCATGGGTTAGATGGGACCTTAAAGACCATACAATACCAAACCCAATGTCATGGGCAGGGACACCTCCTAGTAGATCAGATCACTCAAGCCCTATCCAATCTGGCCTTTAACACTTCCAGCGATGGGGCATCCACAGCTTCTCTGGGCAGTGTGTTCTAATGCCTCATCACCTCTGCAGTGAAGAATTTATATCTAACATCTAATCTAAATCATCCCCTGTTCTGTCACTACACTCACTGATAAAAAATACCTCTCCAGTTTTCTTGTAGGTCCCATTTAGGTACTGGAAGGCCGCTACAAGGTCTCCATAGAGCTTCCTCTTCTGCAAGCTGAACAACCTCAACTCTCTCAGGCTCTCTTCATAGGAAAGGTGTGTTCCAGTCCTCTGATTATCTTTATGTCCCTCCTCTGGACCTGCTCCAACAGGTCTACGTCTTTCTTATGTTGAGGCCCTACATCTCAATGCAGTATGCCAAGTGGGATCTCACTGCTGTCTATTTGGATCTTAATTCACGTCATACATACAAGGCAAAGAGAATCACAGAATTTTAGAATGGTCTGGCTTGGAAGGGACCATAAAGATCATCAAGTTTCATTCCCCCTATTGTAGGCAGGTTTGCTACCCACTTGATCTGGCTGCCCAGGGCCCCATCCAACCTGGCTTGAACTCCTCCACGGATGAGGCATGAAAGAAGCAGTCCTGAAAAGCATTCACCTTTGGGGACATGAATGAGAATATGGATGCAGGCCCCAGTGTCTTCATCCACATAAGAATTACACACCATTTCTTGCTAAGCTTGTCACTGATGAGAGTTACTTTCTTTTATAATGAAGAAAAAAAATATTTTTTCTTGCTGCAAATAAAGTTATTGGCTTTAAGCTTGTTTTGCAGACTAACATTAAAAATGTATCAATTAAACAGGGCTTCTTGTAATTTCATTACTGCCTCCCAATGAAACCAGAGGCAGTTAATTGTTTTGCTACAATTGATGGATATTGAAATGCTAGGATATAGTAAAATATACCAACTTTAATGCCAGTGCTTTAAAAAACAGTTCAATATTGTTCTATGTATCATAAATCAACTTATACCTCTTGACAATTCTTAAAAGATAATGGACACTTATTACTATTGAAAACAAGATAGCTCCTGAGCTCTTTATTTACTTAAGCTACAGGATCTCCAGCATTACACAAGGACACAGAGCTGTTGGAGCAGGTCAGGAGGAAAGACACAAAGATGATCAGAAGGCTGGAGCACCTCACCTATGAGGACAGGCTTAGAGAGCTGGGGCTCTTCAGCCTGGAGAAGAGAAGGCTCTGGGAAACCTTATAGTGGACTTCCAGTACCTGAAGCAGACCTACAGGAAAGCTGGGGAAGCGATCTTTTCTAAGGGCATGTAGCAACAGGCAAGGGGAAATAGCTTTAAGCTGGAAGAGGGTAGATTTAGATTAGATACAAATAAGAAA